TTTTTATAAGATCATTATACTGAATTATGAATTCTTTCCCATAATTAATCCAGCATAAGGTTTCTTCTTGGTTAGCTTTCATAGCGTAATGTTCAGCATCAGTCACTTTATCAAATAATTGAGCTAAATCGAGTAATGAGATTGTAGAAGAATTTTGATGACGGGCCGTCGCTGAAATTTCCGTCATATGAATTGAGGAAGCAAAGCTTCGAGTTTCCAACTCATCTGAAATAACATTATCCTGAATGCCATTAGTTATCGCCTGAGCGATATTCTCTCTTCCCTTTTTCTTGTGCGATTGTGATATTTTGTCTTGACTTTTATTTTGATTCTGATCCCAAAGCTTTTTCACAGTTTTTGAGTCCTGAGATTCAGGCGTCGACATGATTGATTGTATCGGTGGAGTTAAGCTATTATGTGATTCATGAAGTTTTTTTTCCCGGCTCCTCTCTCTTATCTCACTACTAATCTTTCCTTATGTATCACTTCTACAAAATCTAGGATCTCGGCTGAATCGTCATCGATAATATCTTGTGGCACGATATTCTAACAATAAACTCGAGACATCGAGCGTGTCGATAACCCACTGCATTATAAGGAAGAATTAAATTCTTTCCTAAATAAACCTAAAAGCTTAAATGTTACCTTTTTTGCACCCTCACTTAATGAAGATTTCTTAATTCCTGTTCCCATAAACCAATCATAAGTATAGTTGATTCTCTTTTTTATTTCAATAAAAGCATCATCATCTGACTCATCCGAACTGGGGTGATAGGATTTGTCTGAATCGTTCCCATCGGATGTTCCAGATACAACAAGTTCATCAAGTGTTCCAGATACAATAAGAGGATTGTTGTGATCGTTTTCCATTAAATTCTAGAAGTAAATTCGTAGAATTAAAATAAATAAATTCTCAATGGGTTCAAATCCATGGTACTAACCTTTGCCACGCGTTTTGGGGGGCTTTCTTTCGTACACTCTAAAAACAGTTTTGTAAGACGAGAAGTGGTAGCATTTACATACGTTCCCATTTGTTTATTGACATTAGTGGTCAACGTTAAGTCATATTCGTTCTATTCATAATAAGAACTTGCATAAATTAGTGTACGTAGTTTACAAACTCCAGCTTTTATTTTGTCATTAGTTAGCTCTTCGTCGATTGTCATCCAGAATTTATTTACACACTCGGATAATCTTTCATTCTAATTATTAGAAAAAAAAAACATTAATGTTCCTTTTCTAAACTCTTTTCGTTTTGGCAATAGCATGTAAGAGCGCCCAAGGAAATGCGTAATCCACTATCACCAGCCAATACGTAATCAGCCAGCTACTTGAGGGTTGTCAATACGCCACATTGTTGTCTCGTGGACTGGAACGTATTCTAGCTCTTAGTTCAAGGACGCCGAGGAAATGCGTAATCCACTATCACCAACCAATACGTAATCAGCCAGCTACTCGGAGATTGTCAATACGTCACATTATTGTCTCGGTGACTGGAACGTATTCTAGTCCTTGAACACACGAAATTGCCCAATTTCAATTTGTTAAAAAAGCAAAAACTTAACTTCAGGAGCGCCAAACATTGCCTTGCCTTTTTTGCAATAATCAACATATCTACTTAGTACTTCTATTGCTTTTTTGTAATCCAAGTGCTCCTTCGCCTTTTCATATGAAAATCTTCTCGTTTCCGCTTGTATTGTAAGTAGTTTATTAGCAACCAATTCGATGTTTTCGTGAAAAAATCCATTATGTCTTCCATTAGTGACTAAGTTATAAAGCGACGCGTGAATTTCTACAACCTTCTATAGCATATATCTCATGATAATCTAACCTAAACGTTACACGAAACTACGTATTGCCCAAAACTTCAGCAACAGCCCGTCGTTGAAAAATGCCAAGAAAAAAATTTTTCATTTTACGGAATTATAAGATACTAACAATTTTAGCCACTTTATTACTTTTTCAAATCTCCTCGTTTATTGGTTTATGGATATAATATATTCTTTGAGTTCAGAAGTTTTATATAGATGATTTTGAAGGTTTTTGTAAAGAATTATAAATATTCCAGCTTGGTTTTGATCAAGATTGCTTGAGTAAATTATGAAGTTTTCAATGTTATGAGGTATTTTTTTTGTGTTTTAGAATTTGATTTCGGATATATTATAGTTGTTTTTTATTATGTATATCAGTAGGCAGTTGAGTTTTGTTATATCATTTAATCCTCAAGTATTTAGTGAGACAATTTCAAGTAAAAAATATTTATTTTTGTTAAAGAGATTTTAGAAAAAATTTTTATTGAGAAGTTTTTGATTAAGCTTGTGTTTATCATTTAGAAAAATTTGAAGTATTTAGTTGATAGGTTTAGAAATTTTAATTTGTGTAATATATTTATTTGATAGTTTTTAAAAATTGAAGTGTTTTCTAAGTTTGTGAATTTTGGAGTTGAAATTAATGTCACTAATAATAGGAAGTTCTATTTGGATTTATTGTCTATAAGAAATTTTTTGAGTTCAAAGAAATTGAAAAGAAAAAATTTAATATGAATTTAAATCCAGCTGTCAGAAATTCTTGAGAATTGATAAAATTGATATGTTTTGATAATATTAGAACAAACATCAATTTTTTTTTGATGAGAAAGTTAGTTTATACTTTGCTGTTTATTTTTTGATAATCAGTTGAAAATAAATATTTATCTGTTATGGTTTGTTTGTTTGTATTGTCATATTAATCTTGAGTTGATATTTGGTATAAAGAATGATTGATATATTCTTTAGATTATCAAATACTTTATCAATTATATCCCAATTAATATCCAGATGTTTTATACCTAAAATACAAGCTTTATACTAAGGATATTCAATATATCTTCAAATGTTTTAAGGCCTTCAAAGAAGTTAAACAAATTATTAAAACTATTAATCAAATTCTTTAACTAGACAGTAATTAATACCAATTTTATATATATGACAAATCATTGAATTGTTATATAGTATCATATATAAAATTTTCTTGATATTGGATTTTTCTAATTGGATCAAGACAGTAACAAAAGCTTTAATTCAATTATATAATCTAATTTGAAAACTATACTGATTAATAACTAATATATCATTATCTATTGAAATTAAATGGAATTTTAACAAATCTTTCAATTCAATCTATTTCTCTAAACCTACTAGTAGTCATATCTTACTAAATAAAACTTAATCTATTAGTGTCTCTTCTAAAGAAATTACTATAGTTCTGAAAATTGGAATTGAACAGAATTGCAGGGAATCACATGAGGTTCAGAACACTATTAAAAATGATGATGTGATATATCCCACCTATTAAATTTAATATAAACTTGAGAATTGAATACAGAATCGAAGAGAATCAGTAGGATCCTTAGAAATTACCATTGATTTATCTACTATAATCACTAATACTTTTATTTAATATAAATATAACTATTCTAAATATATTCAAAATCTAATATCTTTATTATTCAATTTTACTTTTTCTAATACTAAGTAAATATTTATAGCTGTTTGGTACTGTTTAATAAAATTTATTGTTTTAAATTTTCTTTTCAATATTAGTTAAACAGTTATTATAAACAAGCTAGTATTAACTTATTTTATTAACATATAAGGGATATTATTTCTTTTATAATATATATATTAATATATAGTTTCGATTAAAAAAAATCAAAATTAGATAAAAAAAAACTCTTACTTATTTACTACTAATTTCTTGAAAATTCTTTTTTATGGTAATTTTCTTGAAAAAAACACTTTTTTCTCTCTTTTTAATATGCCAACTATTCCATAAGCTCAAGAATATAAAGACTTTAAGAACCACTATTGCATTGGAATAAGATTTCTGGTCAAAGGCCAAGCAAGTTTGGGAGTTTTGTTTGTTTTTTAGTTGCATAAGAAAAGGCTCATGGCAGTTCTTTTTCTTAACTTTGTCTTTATACACCTCCTTCTTTATTATTATTATAATAACCATCCTCCTTATCATCCTCAACATTACTAATTTTTTTCTAAAAGTATATTCAAATAGAGTTTTTAGTTCTTCTACTTGTCTTAATCAAACTTTTCTAAACAATTTAAACACAGTACACTTTATTGTGTCACTGCAATGATATCAAAAATTTTTCCAAAATCAAAAACAAAAACCAGCTTAACTCTTCCAAACAATCTATACAATTTTAATGACCAATTCAATCTGATACTTTAATTAAACAAAAACCAAACTAACATTAAACTGTTAGGAATGACAATAACAACAATATCATATAAAGACACATCAAAGACTTATCAAATCAAACCAAATCTTCTGAAAATCTTCCATACTACTAAAAAAAATATTTCTATCAGCTATAACTTAGTTATTTATGAACAAGCATAAGCCATTCATAAACCACTTCTATTATGGTTTCACCTATATAGTATTTTTATTATTTTAAAAGTTTTTATGTAATAGACTAGTATTAATTTAAATAAATGCTTAATGTAATGACAGAATTATTAATTAATTAATAAAGCCTTACATTTTATACTTGTTTGCAGTAAAAAAAAAAAAAATCAAAATTAGATTCTTATATATTTTTATTACTAATTTAATGAAAAGTTAATAAAATAAAATAAAATTTTGTATATATATATATTTGAAAATATAAAGAATAAACTTACTTAGAAAGAAAATTTTTTTAAAAAATGTAATTTTAAATTGATTATAAAAAATATATAATAAAAATTTTTTCAATTAATTTAATATATAAATTTATTAAATAAAGGTATATAAAATTATAAAAAAAAATTATAATTTTATAGTAAAGTTAACTTTTTTGATATATTAAAATTTTTTTAAAAAAACTCTCTCCTAATCGTACCAAAACTACCAAATTAGGAAATATCAAAAAACAAAATTTCGTCTCAAGAAAAAAACAAGGAGGAGGGAGGCCCTCCTCCCAAACCTCCCAACCTAAATCATGAATATACTCTTCTCGATATAGTCCTTGCTGATAACAAACAAAGGCTTCCTAAAGTTTCAATAATTTACAAAAATAACAAAACTTCACAAATTTTCATCACAAAACCCGCCAAAGAATCCCAAATTCCTATAAATGCCCTAAGTTCTGGCTTATTCCTACAATCATAAAACAAACTAGAACCCTCGAAGAACATATTGAAGTCATAGAAGTCAAATTTGAGGAGAAAAAGCTAACAACCTGGCTCTTCAGCCCACAACTTAAATTCTCAACCTCAGTCTTAAACCCCAAGTCTTTACAAACACTCAATAATTTCACAGAACACTAGATAAACTTTAAGTTGGAAAAGAGTGACAGAGAGCGTACCATTAGAGAAGTCATCAAAAATACAATGAATTACAACTTACATCTCCTCTGGACCAAAGTAAACATCATCGCCGATGAGTCCTCTCAAACCTTTGACATTCAAAAAACCAAAACACCCAGACCCCCTCCAAATACACCCGCACCCACAGAGGAAATGATCGACGACAATACCATGCAACCTGATTCTTCTCCTGCGACAATCCCTGCATCTACCCCTGAACCTATATCACCTATCGACAATAGCCTAGCGCAGTACCCACATGAATCTGAAACAAATAATCCAGGCACTAATGCACCCCTGCATGGGAACAGCACCAAACAACATAACATACAAAACCTTTCTGAAATGGAAATTGATGATCCCCCCACACACAATGAGCCATATACACAATTCACAACCAATATCTCCTCTTGGGCTGATGAAACAGAAGCTACACTATCGTCTTCAACCACCAGCCAACTTGAAAATGATATCCGTGACACCACTCCTGAAAATAAACAAACCAAGATCCTTGCATACTGTGAAGAAATTACTAACTGCTCCAAAACTCCAGAAGACATACTCAAACTCTTCATTAAAATTAGAGATGACCCCAAAGGCCTTCCCAGATCTTCTTTAAAAGCTATTTTTACAAAAATCGGTCACAGAGACAGAGACTTCTTCAGAACTTTTACCAAAAGTGAACAAATCAAAGGCAAACATCAACTCGAATATGAAAAAATTGAAAACGAGTTCAAGGCAAACTACCTCAAGGTGAACAACATTGGCTACATTACCAGAACCATCAAGAAAAAAATCTGGGTAATCATCAACAAAGCACTCTTTGCCACCTACCTCAGATCAACAGACCTTACAAAACTGAAATTCTGGCAAGTCGCTTAACTCTTGGAATACGGCTTCAACTTTTTCTTTGACCCCACACTTACAAAAATAGATTATTAAGAATTGTACAACAAGTGCAAAGAACTTATAAAAATGAAACTACTGAATCTTCCTGAGTCACCCAATGACATCCCAGCATCAATCAAAATCAAACTGCCTAAAGCCATCCCTATTACCTCGGCAAAATTCACTAGAGAAGTAGCAGAATGCCTCAGAGCATACTATAACTTTAATCTACTTCCACCTTCATTTTTTGTACAAAGACCAGATCTTCCAGACAACCCGACCAATCTCAAAAGCGAACTCCACGGCATCTTCCCTCTTACAAGTAGAGCTGATTTGAGAAATCTACGTGAACTTGTTGACAAACTGAGAGACCACTACTACGTTCCAAGCAAATTATCCCAATCCTATTTCAACTTACCCCCACCTAAACAACTTCTTCCTCCATCATATACAGACCTTCCTGAATATTGTGAAAGGCGGAACGGCGAGTCGGTTACTAAATGATGATGGAATTCGCGTAACTGCCGGTCCACTCTTAATAAAGATTATCGAAGAGGCGAGGTGTTAGATTTGGCCTAGGTGAGTATTTTAATTATTGGTTTATATGATGATTCTCTCTTTTTTCCTTTATTAAATACTATCGTTTTTATACACTTTTCAATAAAAATTATTAGAAAGTTGTAGAAACATAACAAAAGGTAAAGAAATTCTATTTGTTTCTAACACTAATTACATAATAAAACGTTCATTACATCATTTTTATCTCACTTTTAGTGCCGGTTTCAGTTCTACATTTCTTTTCGCGATTCCCGGGTCGATCGTTGATCACGTGACCCAAATCGCGTTACCCATTATTTTATTCTCCCTCTTACAATATCTTCATTCCTACTTTCCTGTTGATAATGATCCAGAAATGATCTAAGCAGCAGTTCAAATACTAAGAGATGACATGTACGTTGTGAAGAGACTGCCACAAGACTTCATCAAACCTAAGAGACCCTTACCACCAGTTCATTGGTATAATGAGAACAATGGCAATATCTTACCTATTATCGAACAAAAGAATTCATCAAACAACTCAGAAACAAGTTCTTCTTCAAACTTCCATTAGGCCCTGAATGGATCAAAGAAGGTCTAATCCAATCAGAGAAACCCATCATTCCAGCTGAGTTCTCACAAGTCGAAGAAGAACTAGGCATCACCAGCGATAATCTAAACAGAAACCACCCTGAATTCGAACTTACAACCAAGAGAATCAAGGACAAGTACTTGGGAGAAATCCCACAAGAATGGATTTCACCCATCTTGCCTGATCTCCCTAGCCTAACCATAGCACAAGAAACATTCAAATCTGAAAAATCCACATTGTCACTCCCCATAATTGAAGACGGAACCCTTCCCAACAAAATCAAACTGCTTAAAAAACTCTTCCACTTCGAGAAACTCTCCACTGAATTCATCATCGAACCAGAGTCACCTGACCCAGATCTGACTCTTCTTCCCCAACTCATATAAACATGACTACAACAGCGTCCAACTCAAGTCAATTATTTCTGCCTAATTTTATAAGTCCCATACTTACACCCACCCTATCAACTCCAACTATAAAATTCACAAACAAATCATCCTCAACAACAAACAACCTCAAAAATCTTATCACAATTTCTATACTTAATGTCCAAGGACTCAATGACAAAGGGAAGCG